AATAATTTACGTTATATTAATAATAAAATTAAAAATTCATTATTTTATAATTTCTAATTTATATTGTAAAGTAAAAACTTTTAAACAAAAATAAAAACCTAAGAATAAAAGATCTCATTCCTTATTTGAAAATCATTATTTTACCATTTAAAATAACTCAAACCCAAACTATGAATCAGTTTTTCTTAAAGTTAATAATAATTTTTATATATTTTTTTGACAATGTACAATTTAAGAAATAAGAGATTTTTTTAAAAACATTATAAAGTTCAAAACCTTAACCAACAAATCTAAACATTTTAAGATTTAGAAACGTATCATCTTAAAGGTCAATTCTTTTTTATTTTTTTAATATTACTTAATGTAAAAAAATAATAATTATATCTCAAACACAAGTTAAATTTTTTTTTTTTTTTTAATTACGGGGCTCACAAGAGAGGGAGGGATTGGTAGAATGTTTTAATATTTAAAGTGTTAAAACTGTTAGTTTCAATAACGGGAAAAATTTAACCAAGGTTAGATCAAGTAGTAAGCGGCTTGTTCCAGCTTAAGTAAGGTCTCGAGTTTGAGACTTTGTATACGCAGCAACCCCTGTTGGGAGACTCATCCACTATTTCCAAGTGCGCGACGTGGGTCGAATCCGAATTAGTCGGGGCTCACCCCAGATACGGGCGAGAAACCAAAAAAATAAATAAATAAATAACGGGAAAGATTGAATGGTTGGTTTCGATCAATGGTATTGAATCTTATATTAAAATTGTTGATCTCCGTGGGTTACGTGTTCGAATCTAATGGAACTCATTTCTCTTCATCCTCATATATACTTGTAAATAATATCAAATTGTTAAAAAAAAAAAATAACTGGAAAGATTTATTAATTTAAAATTATTCATTTAAGTGAAAAGAATTTGATATTTTTAAATAAAATTTTAAATTTGAATTGTGTAAATAGAGACATAAATATTAAAAAAATTTATTGAGTTTTTTTTATATGATTTGTACTAACTTAATTTTAAATTAGTTAAAATATAATATAATTTTTAGATATTAAAAGATTTAGTATAAAAATTTAGTATAAAAAAATAATTTTTTTAAATCTTTTCTCATTTTGAATTACTTTTAAGTGTAGTCCATTTAAAAAAACTTGTTCTTGTTTTTCATTAAACCCCTAAATTTAATATTCTATTTTTTTTAATATATATAATTATTTTACATAAATTTATTTTTTTGAACAAGAGGAATTAATATATATTTTAGGTATATAGGGACCGAAGAAAGAGAATCCCATAGGACTTTTTTTTTTTTAAACATATTTTACAAGGGGTGAGTTTCGAACCCACCCAAAGGAGAGAGAATGCATCGGCTGACTTTTGCCAGTAGACCTCAAAGCTAGGTGCAGAATCCATGGGACTTGAAGATGTTACCCACCAAAAAAGTGATCTCCACTAACCAACAACCTTAACTACTAGGTAGAGAATCACTTTATATAAATTTATAATTCAGTGGTTTTGTAAGAAACCAATTCAAATAACATTTTTT